TCTAAGTGACGAAAGTATTCAGGAACACTGCTTATCGTGTGAGGTATTGGTTAAAGTGAAGTGGGCCATAAAGCTGTGTAGTTTTCGTGGCCCAATGTATCACGGCTTAGTCCACAGCATGATGTGCCCGGGCCGATTTCGGAAAAGACGACATTGACCATTTTCCAGTGATCGCGAGTGTAGCTGGTGGGTCGGACAGCAGTTCGTTCAAAGATGTGCAGACAGTACGCTCGCCGGTTTGGATGGTCTCTCGTCTCGTCTTGCTCTGGTTCCTGGGATCTGACCACAATGCTAAAAAAGAAAGCACCCGGAAACGGACGGATCCATGGCTTACACGCAATTGCACGTGACGTCTGCACACTTTCACCAAAGCTATTCCAAAAATTCCCTTTTTCTCTCCCATCACTACTAAGTTGTCCCATGTTGCTGCGTCGCCTGGTCGCCGAGATCTTTACCCGACCCACAATCTTTAGCGTTTCAACATTTGAAGATTACACGCTTTCCATTTTCATTAGATGAGCCTGTCGAATGGTGGTAATGTGGCACGGCTGCAGAAATATGTTTGCAGATCTAACAGCCTCCATTAAAGTGTTCTGAGAAATTTGTGACAAAAATTAAAGCATTGCGCCTCTGTTTGGTGCTCGTATTATCAGTGCTCGCAAAAATGTAATTCCATGAACAGCGTAACCGGTCAGATTGAAGTCGGCAGGGCAGCTGAAACTACACGATGTCTGGCTAGTTCACGTTAAAGGGAGTGTTCTAACTTGGTATTAGGTTTTGAACTGAAATAGCCACCTTGAAGATCATTCGGTGCAGTTCACAAACCTGCCCTTCTCAAGACCTAAATTCCTCCAGTTTCCGAGTTCCACACCCTCGAAGGTGTGCACGCGATTCTGTGCAAGCTATGTCAAGGTCACTCGGTCATCCATGACGGCATAATAACGCGATTCTAATCATGCCATTCCACTGGTGATGTGGCGAGGACACGTTCGCCAACGCCAAGACAAAAATGTAATTGCTGAGTCGTTCATATCTGGCGTTCGTGAGTGCGACTTCTAAAAAGGGCGTCGATTGGTTCTCCATCTATGTTTTACAAGGTGCAGTGATACAATCAATGACATGTCGAGGAGCATATGTATTAGATAGCAAAGCAATGTTGCGTAGGACAGTCCTCCACAAACGTATACCAATGATTATAAGTAAGCTTTTTCATCATATTCGATGCTTGCTCCAGCATCTTCAAGTGTGGAACTTTCCCGTTAGAACTCGCTTGGTCTGCGACCAAGTCCATAGGAAATGAATATCATTGAGACGAAATGGAGCCGCTTAAGCCAGCTACACTCTGGCGCATGGGGCGGCTGAAATACAAAGCACGCACACTATACCGTTATAGATGTGTGCGCCAGTACGTTTCGTGCATGACGACGTATTGAGGGGAGTAAAGCGAAACGAAAGTCAGGCAAAATGCCAGTCAAACCTCCAGCAAAATTTCGATACATATGTATGTCTGGTGGACATCTTTTCATGGCGTTTCAGTGTACCACAGTACCTATTTGTTAAGAGCCTATTTTGCATGTAACACCAACATGAATCATAAGGATGAATGTCAGTTTTAATCGATTATGACGGACCTTCATATGGGTAAACGCAAAGTAAAGGATGCGAATGCCGTTGATGATGGCTCGTTCTGTGGATAGTTAGATGCCGCAAGACAAAACCTATTGTGTGGCCAACAGTAACCGCGGGGCTCCAGGCGTGTGTTGCTAACCAGGAGATGCGGTCCGCACGGTCCACGACACGACACGGTCCACTCGTTCCACGGCACGACAGAGCCCACTCGGTCCACGACACGACACGGTCCACTCGTTCCACGGCACGACAGAGCCCACTCGGTCCACGACACGATAGGGTCCGCTTGGTCCGCGACACGATACGGTCCACGCGGTCTATGACGCGGCAGGGTACACTCGGTCCACGACACGACAGGGTTCACTGGGTCCACGACATGACACGGTCCACTCGGCCCACAATACGACACCGTACGCTCCATGAAAACAAAATGTTGAACTACAGCCTGATGAACGTAGTCCGGACAAATCTAGCGAGCTTAAAACTTATCACTTGAGTACAGGGATGCTGATGATGGAATGAATAAGTCTAGAAACATGAAGCAAACATTTGCCCAATACTCAAAGAAACCATTGGTTGGAACAAGCCTTGCCCCACTTCCCGACTAACTGAGCACAAATGGAAACAATGGCTAATCGGCCAACGAGGGTGCATCGAACTGCTGTGCACACTGCGACTATCCTATTACCAGGGGAATATACCGATCATCGTGACTATGATGTCCCTGTTAAGTGAATGCAAAAAGTTAACTGAGAAAAACTTTTTTCCCCATTTTGTTACCAGGCTTGGCCGTGGCAAGGACATTTTTACTGTGACGGCAGCAACTTAATAATGCAGCCGTCATGTGCGATGAGAAAAAATGAGCAAAAACCTGGCAAAAAACCTGGTGTGGTATAAAAGCCGAGGAGCTGAGTGGGTTAAATTTAATGCTGTCCAATGTGTTCGAGTGCATGGACCAAAAAACTTCGATTCTTTCTTCAAAAGGAACGATTTCCTCCTGTATTTGCGCTCTGGAATTTGCTGTGACGTAGAGATTTTCCAGTCGCCCGACTTTTCGGAACCCGACAAGACACACGAATGCAGGCTACGAAGATCAAAATCGTCTCTTATGCTATACTTAAAAGCAATGCATAATGGCAACATACGACGCATTATCTTTATACGTCATATTAGTTTCAGGTCTTATACGACACACCTCTCAAACTATACGCACTAGCGTTTCGACCTCTTTTGAGATTTGCATTGTCGCCCTGTTCTTCACAGGCTCGTGCTACATGCCGATGTCTTTTCCTGTCATGAAACCCTCTGCCTTCCTGCCGCAAATAAATTTCACCGAAATCACAATACTGTATATCCCATGCAACTTCTTGTCAGACACTTTAACCACACCTTAAGCGGACAAAATCGCTAACTCACCTCTGAGCTGAGCGTTACGCTACGACCGAAACAAACACGCACGAATGCTGCGATGGCACAAGTTCGAACGCTGCGGCGGCACAAGTTTAAATGCTGCGATGGCAAACGTTCGCGACAGGCGCACAAGCTTCGTGGTCGCAATTCGCCTGGCGAAATCAAGGTTTGGTAAGACAGTATTCGTGACCAATGTCAAGCCAATCAGGAAGAACACTTGGTGCAAATTCATTACCTTGTTAAACCTGCCTATGTGAACAAACCAAGTACAACTCCGTGCAAAAGCTGGGTCTCTTTGCCGTAAGTAAGAATAAACAAACCCGAACTTAACATTAGCTTAGCATTGACAAAGAGATGCGTTATCTTTGAAGCTGACAAAGCCAAACAGGGTCATAGTTGTTCAATATTTCACTTTCTTTCACCGCTGTTTGGCCCGCAGCTTTATGTACGGTGAGCACGCCTTCTCACACGCGTCCATCGTTGCGAAGTTGTTGGCGTTGGGTCTGCAGCCGCTGAACCCGAAGGGCTTGCACAGGCCTTTTTCGAAGAAGTAGCGCGTGAAGGAGTTGTTGCAGGGACCGACAAACTTGGGAAGCAAGCAGATGTCCGCCGCTAGCAGCCGGTGCATGTCGATAATCGGCGCTGGGGTGGGTGGCGCTATAAGGCCGCGCGTGCGAGGCCGACCGGACACTGAGGTTGTTGCAAAGAGGACCAGCAGCGTAAGCAGCGGGAGGGCCGACAGCCGAGCACCCCTCCGTCGTTGCGACATGGTGACAAACTGAAGCGGACCTGTCAGATCGAGACCGTGCCCCCCTCCACACCTGTACACCCCACCCAGAGCGCTCCAGGCCTTCAACCTATTGGGCGGCGAGATCTATACCAAAATGAGCTAGTTCTAAAACTATACGGACTCAGCAATTAACACCTTTAAATTAAATAAATCACAGTACCAATAATGAAATTTCAAAACAATTCGCTAACATCTTATCTCTAATCAATTTCCATTACCAGAGACAACAAGATGCAGAAAAGCATACTCTATAACTCATAAATGCTCTAATAGCGACTAAATGTGGTAGCAGCACAATTCTGGCGCTTCGCGGACAGATAACAACAAAACTGCATCTTAAGCTTTTGCCGAGGCTCTAAGGGGATGATAACTGTTTCCACTATGTGGAGTAACTAACGCTCGTGCCTGATATCTGATGCAATTGCAACAGCTATGAACAAGTTTAGCGCTGCGTTGTGCCAGGAGACAGCATGCCCCCTCCGAAGTTGAGGTAACCTGCGCATTGTACGTGACAGTAAGGGGTTATATTTATCCGAATGTTGCATACTGCATACATTACGTATGCTATGTTGTTACATGTTATTTTGTACAAGCATATTTGTATGAACACGTCAGTGCTGGGCCATTATTCAGATGCATTACGAGGGGGATGTCCTGTGGATCTGTTCAGTACCTAATGTATACCCCACTAATATATACCCCAATTAATGGTGCAGGCAGGAACTCCACCAGAAATTTCTTAGGAGACTTAGGAGCTCAGTGAGATAGCTTCATATAAGGTTCTGTGAGTACCATCTATGGTGAAAAAGAAAAATATAAGCCTAAGCAGGTGTGGCCCTCCACCACTTGGGCAGATGTGGGGGCTGTATGGCTGGCTATAGGGCTGTGCCCATATGTCCTGGTAATCTTACTGCAATTACTGGAGTTATTATCATTGAATTTCCTTCAGTGTTTGAAATAATTTTAATATATCATTTGATCATTCTTGTTATGCCATAACCAGAATTTCTGCTCAAAGGTGAATATGGAGGGCTTGGCACACCTTCAGTATTCTGTTGGTTTGGTGCTCAATGATTTCAGTGGGGCTCACATATGTAAATCTGGGGAGAAGGACTTTAGACAGGATGTCCCCAAAATTTGCTTTTGTCTCCCAATCTTGCTTAAAGAATGCATACTTTTCATGTTTCTCTGTTCCATATGCTATTCTCAGCTATGCTGTCACAAGGATTCTATTTTGGCCCCTCCAATTCTGATTACCCTCTGCTCAATCTCAGAGACATGGTTAAATCCATGACTGAGTCAGCTATGATGGAAAGAATAAGTGGATGGTGATAATCAGCACAAAGCCAGCAATGAATCCAAGCCAGGTACTTCACTGCTAACAGCTACAATATTTTTATTGGAGGGCCTTTAGTTTTGGGGAGGGGTGGGGCAGTTGGCCTCATGTGGGGAAGGGGCACTTGCTCTACACAGTGGACCAAGACACAGGATATTCACAATGTCTTTTTGTATTTACCAGTGTCAGAAGAACCCCTGCGGAGATGGGGGAGGGAAAGCACAGGTTCACTCCATAGCTTTTCATACACCACCGCAGTGTTAATGTTAGATATTTTATGGAGTTCAGGGGTGATGTGCCCCAGGTGCACCATACCTGCTACCTCTGGTTGACATTCCCAAAGTACTGATGACTTAGATGGTAACATGCAATGGCATGAAAACTGTTAATCTATAAACATTGCTAAATTAACAATTCCTGGCTGCCATTCTTCCACCAGGCAGCCCCTTATGCTGTAAGAAACTGGCTAGCTATGGGTGTCAGCATTATGTGACAGATAATTTAATCTCTTCTAAATAGTTGTTACCTTTTTGCCAGCACACTTACTCACATGGTTCTTTCACATGGTCCTTTCTTGAAAGTCTCGGGATTAGAGACAGTGTTATGCCACTGTCTTGTACTTCATTGCAAGATGTCATGTGACAGAGGTTTGAGACCTAAGCATTCTTATTCCGTAATTGCTAAGAAACAAAATGGTTTCTTAAAACTGAACCAAGGCAGATGACCAAGAGAGAATGGCACCGTAAATCTGAACAACTTCAGGCTTATTTTGTTCGCTACATGGCTAAAAATTATGTATGTGACCTCAGCATGAACATCTGAGCCAGGGAAAAGGCCTAGTACCCAACCTTGCATGATATATAAAAGTGAAGGCAGAACTATCCCTTAATGCCAGGAAGCAGAAACAGAGTGAAGGCAAGTTACCTTCTCCATTTGTCATGTCCAGTAAATTGTTCAAGCCTTCAGCCCACACTTATAGTTTTCCCCGAGTACACATATAGCATTGCTTCTTTGTGTAAGGTTGAAGTTACTTCATATGAAATTATCAGTCATGTGATGTGCTATCTTCTCCTACACTATCCATTAGACCTGACTTGTCTGCATGCACATCTTCATGATAATCTCACAGTCCATGCACTGTCAGACTCTCCTCTGTGTGACCGGGCTGCACCAGGCGTGGGGGTCCGTCATCTGATCAAGCTGCGATGGAGGTGGCTATGGAGGTGGAGGTGGTGGTGCGATGGAGGTGGCTATCTGGTCGTGTGACGAAGCTGGAACGATCTCGTGTGGCCAAGCTGGGGCTGTCTCGTCGTGCGGCGAAGCTGGGACGTTCTCGTCATGTGACCAAGCTGGGACTGTTTCGTGGGACCGAGCTGTGCTGGAAGCAGCTGTCTCGTCATGCGGCGAACCTGGGGTGTTCTCGCCGTGCGACCAAGCTGGGGCCGTCTCGTGGGACCGAGTTGCGCTGGAGGTGAAGATGCCCTAGCAAGACCAAGTGACGACAGTCTCGTACGCGGAGCCTGCGTTGTGGGCTGGCGGCTTGTCACGTGACCAAGCTACGGCGCTCTCGTCCCGTCACTGCGCCGTGCTGTAGGTGACGATCTTGTGTTAGCAAATAGCGGTGGTCTGGCGTGACCGGGCCGCGTTGGCCGCGACGGGCCTGTCGTCTGGCGGCCCCGGCAGCCGAGTGCTGCTGCTGTGTAGAGAGCGTCTGGGCTGGGGTTTGAGGTGTGGGGCGCGCGCCCCTACCCGCTACGCGCACACTCCATGAACTGTGCGCGTTCATGGCATGTTGGATCTGAACAAGGTAGCGGAGGTGGGCTGTGCCACCCTGTCAGTGCACGCACGTGCGTCGTCTGTGTGGCGTTGTAGCGTCAGACCCGCCGATTTAAAAGATCGCGAACGCGGGAGACTGGTAAGCGTTTCGACGCGTGTTGTGCCTTGTCAAAAGGGATGTTTTGTGTAAAGAAGGTTTCTCAGTTCGTCGTTTATGCTGCCTGAAGCCTCATAAAGATGTCGGCCATCATTTTTATGTGAGCTGCCTGATAAACATTCTATATCGCTTCTATATCAGGTATTTTCATGGTCGCCTCATGACATGCCATAGTTTGAATGAATCAGACGACGTTTTGTCTTCGCTTTCGATTTTTATTATCGTGTGGGTGGGGCGTGCGTGTGAGTCCGACGTGCTTTTAGCGCTCGTCGGAAGACCTTCTCGGGGTATACTGCTGAGACGCCGGCGTTTGTCGAGCGCGGCCGTGACTATCGAGGCCTTTGAGGCTTAGAGGCTTTGGTCTAATTTCATTTTGTTTGGGAGACAGTGGCCGAGTGCATTGATATGTCACCTGGACTGATATAAATTCGAATGTGTGTCCTTGTCGATAAGATACGATGCGAATAATTTTTATCATCTATGTGTCAGGTTGCTGACACGAAGCTGATAAAAGACAGAAAAGACAGCAGCTGAAGAGACATCGCTCCTTTTACAGATGACCGTGTAGCTATGCAACGCGGATGTGGATCAGTCAGGCGATGCAGGGGAGGGGTGGGGCGCACAATGCTACCACCCGACCAGGAACGGGTTACTCACGTCGTGTCGTGTTTAGGTCGGGTGGTGTGATCGTTCGGTTGTGGCGTGCTTGAGCGCTGGGCCTTAATTTTTACCGGAGAGGTCGGCGCAGTGGGCTGGTCATCAGCCTTCGGCGTCCAAGGAGATCAAAGGATCAATTGCCCCACTCCTAACTCACGTTAGCCCCGTTCGTGTAGGGCACTTCTGATTTTTGCGATTTTCTGCCTTGAAAACCCGCCCTGCCGTGCACGAGCCAGCTCTGGAAGTCCGAACCCGAACGCCCTAGAGAGGTCTGAGAAACCTAGCAAACGAGGGTTTCGAGCGGAGGGAACGAAGGCTTAAATGTTTGATCCTAGGCCGTTAATCATCGCTTATAAATATTTTAAAATGATGTAACATTTCTGAAATGTATAGTTGGAATCTTGTGTTAAACCACACGTTTTTACAAGGTTCTTGTGCGTTGTTACTTAACTAATATAGAACCTATAAAAACCAACCAAAGGCCTTTAGCAACCCATCTTCTTGTCAGTGTCAGCATTGCTTACAAGGGCACGGCTGGATTTTCGGCCTGCGCCTGGAGAGCTTACACACTGTAGCTTCTAACTGTTAAATGGGGATGTAACTGCATCCCCAGCAACTCAGAGATTCACGTCGAGTGCGCGTAGTTGTATGCGTAGGATGAACCGAGACATGCCACTGGCACCACAGGTGGCGTAGCCAGTATTTCGACCAGGAGGTGTCCAAACCGGGGCGTGGGGGGGGGGGGTCTGCTTTAACCAATATAGCCTCACTTCGTCGCTTAAGGGGCCCCTATTTCTTATTTGGGGACTTTTCTACGTTCAAGATCGTATTATGATGCCGGAATGGTACCTTTTTTATGCTTACGAGCATTAAAACCTTTACATCTTAAAGTAGCACCAACTTCGTATGGGAAAATTCGCTCTTGAGCCTACATGTGCAAAAGTGATCATATTCTTGTTATAGCCGACATCATATTAAATTTAATCGTGATTGCACATATTCCCGATGTGTATGGGTGGGAAAATTGCTGGTGTCTCTCTTGACAATATCAACCTTCGTTGGCGTCTTAATGACTGCACGTTAGGCGTGAGAATGTATCAGAGGTTGGGGGAGGGGGCGGGGGTCAAGACCAATGTCGATGCCAGTTCTTCCCATCCGTCACTGTAGAGTTGATATCAAACGCTCTAGCAAATGTGCGTGTATATGTAAGGGGAGGGAAGGGGAGTAGGGGGGGGGGGGGGGAAGGGCATGGCAGTCGCCCCGTTTGGCGTCAAGTGTCAGTGCATTCGGTTCGCTAGTTGACAGTGAGCCGCGACTGCGCGGCAACGCCGAATCGGTCGATCTCAGTTGGGGCGATAAGGTCCTTACATGCACTGAAAGTCGCCTTACTGGTTGCGCATGGTGTAGTGATGCGGCTTGGTATTGGTATTTGCTATCGATATGGGGGTTTTATGGCGCACTCAGCAGCCTCAGCGGTTTATTCAGCAAGGAGCTCGGATTTCTCTGAAAACACGTCAGTTGTTCAATTATGGCGCGACAGCATCGAAAATGACATTTACTTTGCTCTGTCGTGTGACCTTTAAGCTCAAATATATGGTCAAAGTATAGGGAACTCCATATCTCCGAAAGGTTACCGGCCGACTTTAAATTTGCAAGCATCGAAACAGACACCACAAAAGAAACTAGCGTCTTTAAAACTCCTGACCTCGCGAGGTCACTTTTCAAGGCAAAATGCAGGATCGAAGGACGGGGAGATCCGTAACATCCAAGAATTACGGGCTGATTCCATCTTGTCAAGCATCAGAACATTCACAAGTGTAAGAACTAGTGTTCGTCAAAAATGTCCGACCTTTCAAGGTTACCTGTCATGGTTCAATTCAGTATCAAGGCACGATAACTCAATGTCGCGAAAAATTACGGGCCGCTTTCGGATTCTGAAGTGCTGAAACAATCAAAAGCTCATGAAACAGCGTCCGCCAAAAAGTCCTGAACTCTCAAGGTCACGTTTCAAGGCTCAATTCGGGTTCGAAGGACGGGGCACTCATTATCACCCAAAAATTGCAGGCCAATTTCAACTATCAGGCACTGGAGGATTCAAAAGCGCAAGCACCAGCGTGCGTCAAAAGTTCCTGAAAACTCTTATCACCTTTCAAGGTCAAATTCACGCTCAAAGCACGGCGAACTCAATGTTACCAAACACGTACAGATCGATTTCAGATTTTTAAGCATGAGAAACATCCCTGGCGTATGAACTAACGTCTGTCAGAAAATCCTGTCCTTTCAAGTTCATCCTTTAGCGTCGAGTGCTAGGTCAAAGGACAATGAACTCCATATGCACCAAAATTATCAGCCGTTTGTACATTTTTAAGCATTAGGAGATTCTCCACAGAAGGAATTAGCGTTCGACAAAATTTTCTCACCTCTTGAGGTCACCTGTCTTGGTGAAAATCCGGCTCAAAAGATTGGGGACTCAACACCACCAAAAAATTACTGGTCGATTTAAGTTATATAGTTTCAGAATTTTCAAATGCACAAGAACTATCGTCCATCAAAAAGCCCTGATCTCTCAAGGTCGCATTTAAAATCAATTTCACGCTCACAGCACGGAGAACTCAATATCACAAAAAAATTCCCGACCGATTTTGGATTTTTAAGCATTAGAAACATCACTAGTGCATGGACTAGCATCCATTAAAAGTCTTTCCCTTTCAAGTTCACCCCTCAAGGTCAAATACAAGGTCAAAGCACGGTTCAGTCCATATAACAACTTACGATTTCAAAGTCTCCGTGCACCAGCGTATTCACGACAGGGGAATACGAAGGGGAACGAGGGGGCAGGGGAATATAGTCCGTAAAAAAATGCAATCGGCCAATGTTTTGGGAGGAAAATGGAGTTCCCTGTTCCTTGGACATTAATTTTGACCTTGGAAAGAATTGAGGCTATAGAAGCGTTTGGCGGACGCTAGTTCCTTTGATGGTAATTATTCTGATGCTTGAAAACTTGAAATCGGCCGGTAATTATACGGTGAAATGGAGTTCCGCATTCATTGATCCTGAATTATACCTTGAAAGGTGGCCATAACAGTTGAGAACTTTTTGACGGACACTAGTTCGTGCGAGAGTGATTATTCTTGGTCTTGAATGTCCGAAATTAGTGAGTATTTTTTTAGTAGTGCGGAGTTCCCCGTCCTTTGACCTTACATTTGGCCTTGAAAGTTGACCTGAATTCAAACCTGAAAAGTGGCCTGGGGAGCTCAGGACGTGTTGACGTGCTCTGGTCTCTGTTCTGATGGATACTCTGGTTCTTAAACATTTGAAATCCGCCTGTGTTTTGTTTTTGTGGCATGTAGTCCCCGCTCTTTGAGCATGAACTTGACCTGGATAGATGACCTAGAGAAGTCGTGAGATTTTGACGGGCTTGAGCTCCTTATGTAGTGAATATTCTGATGCTTGAGAAGTTTAAATCGGCCGATGAGTTTATGGGAGGAAGGAGTTTCCTGTCTTTTGACCTTGCATTTGACCTTGAAGGTCACGTAGTATTGTCAAATTAACTTTATTTTCTATGTTCTTGTCAAAAGATTGATCATCTGCCGTGTTTTCAAAGAAATCGGAACCCCTCGCTAAATAGCTTGCTGAATAAATTGCTATAACTTACTGAGTAAATAGCCAGCGTCACGGACATGCGTCGCCTGGCCCTCGCCTTGGCAGGCACGGCGGGCGCCGTGGGAAATCGGTTCCCGCACCCCTGGGTTCTCAGAGCTGCGACTCTCGGACTCCCAGACGCACATTTGCTGACATCCCCGTTAAAATATGCAGCATGTCGCATGGCAAAACGGATTACCTTGGCAACATACTAAGGAACGTGGTGAGCTGCTTGGCTTGGGAGGAAATTCACCTCATAGAATGGCGTAACGTGTGAATGTTCTCCTGCGTCCTCATTGTAACGTCACTGCGGCATCGCCAGATCTTGTCACAAAAAGCCCCGTCCCTCCACTCTGGGGCTCTCGGTTCACCTATGCCAGTGACCATCTGTGTAAGTACAGCTGCACTTTTATGCAGATGGACGGCGCGTACTACCGCGTCAATTGAATAGAAGTTTCATGCCGTCAGATTGGCATCGTCCTTTCTAGACTATGCGGCGCTCGTCGACGGAGGGCATATAGGTCCATCTGGGATTGAGAAGCCGTTCATAAATTATGCCAAGCAGTTTTGTCAATTTTCACCCACTCTCCCCGGTTACACACTAGTTACGCAGGGCGAAAACCTCTTTCTGATTACGCTGAGTTACCCCCTTACTGATTACTCTGATTACCCTCTTTCTGATTGCTCTGCACTAGTTGTAACGTTACAGAAAGGTACCTTCCGCTTGATATCGAATAGCAACTCTGCGACCCTGAGTTTACGAGCCTGCAAAGAGACGTGAAACGACAGCGCTAACATTTTTACCCTCGTAGTGTTCATTCGAATCTTTTGAATGGCCTTTTCAATCTTTTATACAGCTGCTGTAAACAGCGCCTAAAAGAGCATAACAAATGTATTTTTGAAAACCAAGGTTGTGACACATGCTTTATAGCCAAACGAACGACTTAGCAGGAGGGGTGTAGTTTCCTAGTCAGTCGCCTCCTCCCCCCCCCCCGCCCCTCAACTCGGGCTCCAGCCTCCAATCTTGAAGAGAAAGTGGGCCGAATCCGGGGAGAAGCCCGTTCGTTGGCGAATCCGGGGCAGGTTGCGTCATATTTCACTGCCCAGCCCACAACCTCTCTTTAACCACACCCCAGCATA